TATTATATTACATAATGAATGTGTTTGTGGAATCTATTACGGAGTAATATCTAAAAGCAACAGAACTTCCGCTCAAAACTCTCAACATCAAGAAATATAGCATAAAAATAAATAATTAAACCACAAAAAGTACCATCCGAGTGAGACGTGGAGTTATAGAGTTGGTACATCGTGTGCACTCCTGCGCATAGTATGAAATTTACAGACAAATGTACAATGCAATGGCGAGACATTTGATTGGACAACTCATATGATTAAATTATTTTCATAAATAACTTTAAAATTGTGACCTTGATAGTTCTCCCTCACAAAAGCTTTCCAAAATCTTCAATAAATCTGGATAGATTTTTCTAACATAAATTTAAATCAATAATATGTGAAAACAATTGAATCAGACACTCCCTATTAGGCTCCAAAGACCGCTATAAATAAACCATAATTGTGATGGATAACTTCAACACATTCTTCTTTTGTTTAGTTTTCATCAATTTTTCATCTCATCGTTCATGTATTCATACTACATGCTATATGTTCATAAGCATATATTGTGAGCATGGGGGATAAGTGTTGAGGACTTGAGGATAAAGAAACGAAGAAGAAGCTTTATCACAGATATAAGCATATAATAAGTAATTAAGTAGAACAAAAAGTTAAGAAAAGCATAAATCACATAGAGTGGGAAAGTCTATTTATGTGAATTTCTTATGTGGAAGCATTGAAATTTTATTATAATACATAACGAATATGTTTATGGTATATGTAGAATTAAAAGTTAAAAATTATGCACGGGAAACCCTTTCAAAAAATGAAATGGGTGGCAAAGTCTATTTATTAGGTTCCCTCATTTGGAAATGTGGAAGAATATAAAAAATGTATGAATTTTAATTAAAAAAATAAATGATGGAACATTAATTGTTATAGCATTTCACTTATATTTTAATCGCATAAAACATTTTTCTATTGTCCTAAAACTATTAGAAAGTGAAATTTAAGAATTAGTTTTTTTGAAAAGAAATCTGCTTATATTAATCTCATTGAAGCAAAAATTAAAACATCCAGCCTTCCAACTACTCAGACCATCCCTCTAGACTCCTTATAGCGAAAAGGCTCTCTGAGTCTCTAATTTGACAAAAATAGTCTTCTAGTAATAAGCAAGACTAATTGTTAAGCATGCGAGAGATTCAAAACTATTGTCGACCAAAATAGCCTAATTGATTTCTCCCAATCTAATAACTAAAACCACAAATCAGAGATTATACCTTGAGAGCTTAACGAAAAGAAGCATCTAACCCCTAGCCACTAGTTACTTCTCTGGCGGTGGTTCCGGAGAGGGGTGCATTGTCAATATTTCATTTATCTTGTTTATCTTGTTATCGCTCTTTATCTCCAACTACTTCTTGTCTCTTACATCGCCGCACATCATGGTTGGAGCTGGTGTCAACATCTAACCTTTGCCCACTCCATTTCCCCTCAACATGATGCTATTCATCTGCTGAAGAAAACTGCCCCTGAAACCAACGCCGACTACGATTCACGGCAGTCAATACCTAGAAGAAGCGTGCGCTCCAAAATCTAGCGCAAAGTGTGCTCCTTCCGCTTCATTTAAGAATTAGTTTGATAACTTCTATGAGTTATTTTTTTAAATATATAACTTTTGACTTCGAGCAAAGTATTGAGTAATAATGAAAATAAATGAAGTTACTTTTCTAGTTAAATTCTAGTTAAATGAAGTTGTAATTACTTTTCTAAAATTGATTAATAGGATCACTTTAACTATTTTTCATATAATCTTTCTTTATTACTTTTCTTTATATTAATAAAATATACTTTGAATATAAATTTTGTTATAATTCAAAGGATTTAACTAGAATTTTACTAATTTCAACAAATTTAATCAATTTGGAATTATGAAAAGTGTTTGAGTTTCATGAAAATTATTTAGTGGAAACACATTGTATTGAAACACTAAAAGGCTAAACAAGGAATGGAAGCAATAAAAAAAAGGAAATTTAAGGAAAGGAAGCAACAAAACTCGTGATTCAATCCCATAGAAATCTATTGTCATTATGAACAAAAAGGCTAAACAAGAAGGAAACAAGATTAATATTAAAATCATCAGCTAATAATCATCATCATCACCATAAGCTCGAAAGCTATATCGTTCTTGGTAAAACCCAGTGAAGAAGAGATCCGCCTCGAACCACTTCGGGTAGCGAACCAAATCGCCGGCGACGAAATGCATATACCGCTCGCTCCCTTCCGGCACCACCCTCACCTCTCCTTCTTCGATGTACACCCATTGGTCCACGTGCCAGTCCCACGCCAGCTTGGTGTCCCCGCCCGTCTTCCACATCGACCATCTCCACACCCCCAGCTTCTCCAATCTCTCCTTCGCCGCCGCCTTCTCCACTCGCACGTTGTACAACTCCTCCAGTGGTTTCTCGATCCTCATCGCCCTGAAACTCACCCGCCTGCTCCGGTGCGGCGGATTGCGGCGGCAAGTGGCGGAGAAGCCACTCAAACTCGGATTCACCGCTGTTGTATTAATGCTTGCCATCTCTCTTACTCGTTCGTGCCTCAATTCACCTGCACAACAGTTTAATTTCAATTGTTGAAGTAGGATTTGAACCCAATTGAGTAATTAAACCAAAAAATTAGTGAAAAAGGGATACAGTGTAGTATATACGATAGTATATAGAAGCAAGGAAATAGCCAAATACTTGAAGAAAAGAAACAATTCAGTTCCTAGCTACACAAGGAAGCTCCAGAGAAATAAAGCAAGATGGTTAGAAGGTTTTTACCCTTGCGGGAAATATAGCTTGGTAGAGAAATGAGGAAATTCTAAACATAAACCCAATTCCTTTCTGTGAGATGCTCTTTCGATTCGACCTCCACCGCCAAAATGTTATGGTGAAACCTATTTCGGGCTCGTATGGCCGCCTGGAAGCAGAGAGAATGGGAATCGGAGAGGGGACGGGATCCGTAGAAGATAATGAACGAGCTAGCACTGTTCCAATCAAAAAACAATAAGGAAAAACTTACCAAAAACAAATAAGATCGTGGAAAGACGGAAAGATAAATGTCATACAATTAATCTTTTGTGTCTTACTCTCTCATGTCACATGTGCATTGTGCATATCATAGCATTGGAGATGCTCTTATTTTTGTCCTAAATGGAAGTCAGGGTAGTTAGTTTTTTTGCGTTTTGAAACCGTTTTAAACACGTATCGTTTTTTAGCAAAGAAACACGTTGAAAATGAAAAATAATGCCGGTCCATTTACAAAAAGAAAAACTTCCAATTCTCGTATAAAACGTATTTTTCCCGCATTTCACGAAAAATAGAAACATGAACTGATCAATTGAATGAATGCATTAAATAAATATAAATAGGAAATCAATAATAATTTAAAAGTAAAAAGGACAACTTCCTCCCCGTGAGTCTGTGACATCATGTTTTTGTATTGTTACAATACAAAATGTACAATTATTAAATGTAATAAAATTAATTGCATGAAGGCTAAAACTAGCCTCATAAAAGACTAAACCTTAAAATACTACGAGTACTAGATTTCTGATGTTTTTTCCAAACAAGCATATCAAAATTAAGGTTTTTCTAAACTTGACATTTTTTAGTATAAACTTTTATACATAAACAATAATAAGCGTAGCGGTCGCACAACTTTTCTCATATGTCATCCAGCCGTCATCTTGATGAAAATGATGAGTTTAACTTGAGTGTCATTTGATGATCATGTAAATATATAAATATATTGATTTTAACTTGGTTTCATTCTATCGTTATTATGTCTTATTCTTTTGATATTATTTTGCAAAATTCTGTCTTGGACCTAACTATAACTACGTATTTTTATTTTTGTCATCAACTTATGCAATTTCGAATTATTCTTTTATGTACTAATGCGATTTGTTACTTGAATATGTGTATACATTTATTTCTTTTCACTAAATACGTTACTTTGGAGTACATATAATTTAAATGTTCAAAATAATACCCGTATTTTTTGTCCGGATTTTTGTAACAGATACCATATTATACACATATACATATTTACGCATTTTTTAAAAGTCAACTTTTTTTTCAACGAAATTTTGACCGTTTTTTATTCATGATACCGAATAAAACGTTTACGTAGTTAAACCTTGTTTAACTCTCGTACCATATTTAACTAACTATGGAAGTCAGTCCCATTTTTGTCCGATCAAAACTCGAGTCTTATTTTTGAGATTATTTCATTGTGAATTTGTGAGGAGAAGGTTCATACCCGAAAAGGAGGAAAGAAATTAAGACAATTTCCACAAGTAAAAACATTTGGGAACTCCAAATATGAGTGTTAAAGAGTTTATTATTGTTATTCTCCAAATTTGCTCAACTCGGAATCATAGGAGCAATTTGGAACATCCAAAAGTACTTTTACACTTTCACTCAAACAGTCTAATATTTGTTTCTGCTCTTTAAAGGAGCAAAAGCAATTTTATGAAATACATTCAAACACGCCCTAATATTCTAACGCAATCTCTCAAGGAAACAAGAGTTTGAATTCATTGAAGGTAGAATTCGTGTCAACCGGCCCAATTTCAAACAACAAAACTTAATATCAAAATATTTTAAAAAGTGAAAGTTATGACTAAAGTTTAAATAAAATAAAGTGAATTGATATAAAAAAGAAATTGATATGCACAAAAAATGAATATTAAAAGAAACTGCCATAATGGAAATAGATAGATTTATTATGATATGTCAACATCGAAAACTACAACTTGTGATTTTTATGCGGTACATAGGAAGCACGTATTTAGTTGATCTTGATCCAATCTTCTGATTCTTTTTGTTGGTAAGAATTCTAGCCATTTTGTCATCTATGTTGCACGAATACAAAATAAAATGTTCATATGGAGATATTATGTTATGTCAATTTTATCATGTCCTTTGTTCAGTGCGAACTGCTAAGTATTTAATATGGTATGTCTTTTGTAATCCTAAGCAATCATAAGACTTTCTTTTGCTTGGAATAATCCCGGTAAGTATACAAGACCTTGAATTGACACCGACTAACCCAGTCCGAAACACATAATACTCCAACTAAATTCTAAAAAGCAATCACATAAATTTTAACAAAAATGACCATTCATAACAACAAGCATCACAACCGATATGTATACAAACTCATTCTAACCCATCCTCATAGCAATACACATAAAATTTCAATCTAACTAATTACCATGGTGGAGCTCGGGATTGACAATGGCTCGAAACTATGATGACTTAGTATCACCTAAAACTCTAAGCACTTCATCATATGCCTCACTTGCGGCTCTATTCAGTGCGACCTCTTTCTTCTGAAGGCACTTCCCTCTTCCTCTATATTGGTTGTCAACTAATACTTCACAAGTTCTGTTTTTTGCCCAGAGATCTACGAGCTCCACTTTAAGCTTATGCTTTTGGCACATTTCTTTTAGCTTCTTTACAGGATTTGTTTCGAGCATTTCTGGAGTTATTATTGGCTCCAATAGTGTCTTTGTTACCTGTGAGGCCAATAAGTTGGTTCCCAAATCAGTGGTGTATATTTATATCAGTTGCACCCTTCACCTTCACCACAATGCTAGAAAGTACACTTTTGTAATGACCATCAAGGACCTCATTTTTTAGATACTACCTCCGTCTCAGGTAAAGATTCTCATCTACTATTCTCCGGTCAACATAAATTGGTTTTAATCTTTTACTTTATTTATCAAACTTTTATCAAATTTGAGTTTTATTGCGACTTTATAAAACATTTAATGTAGTTTCTGAATATGTAAATTTTATTTACTACAAATAATTTTATTATTGACAGGGATGGTTAACTTATGGCAGTAAAACATCGTAAACCTCATGTGAACCTTTACACGAGATGGAGGGAGTATCAAATTATTAGCTATATACACCATACAGTAACTATTTGAAGTGAATTGAATGATCAACATATAAAAATGGTGCAGGTGTTCCTTTTTTTTTTTTTTTAATAAATGGGTTAAAATGAAGAGAAAGAACACTTATTCCCTCATCTATTAGATATTACTATTTTTCACTTATTAAAATACATTGTATATATATAACCAATTTACCAATTTCAGCCACAAGATCAACGAGTTCAGCTCATTCAGTCATTTCAATGAAACTCACCTTTACCAAATAAGCTCTTAGACATACTTATACTAAATGCTAAAACAAGACTCGTTTGAAAATTTTACATGAATATTTGAAAAAAAGTCTCTTTACTTAAAGTGTGGATGGAGTTTTCACTTATCATTATGTTAAAACAGATAATACTGTCACCATTCATGACAATGGTATTTACATGATTGAGAACAGAATGTGTGCATACTTTTATTTATAAGTTATAACTTCAGTGAAAATGAAAAAAATGAGTGAAGAAAGGAATGACCTCCCAGGTTTTATCAAGGGAAGCATTGCTGTCAATGAATACAGCCCCAATTGTTGATTCAACCACATCAGCGAGGACCTTTGGGGCAGCAATAAGTCCATGTGAGTGTATAGGGTAATTTGGAAGAGCATCAATAAATATACTGATCTGGGATTCACAAAGTTAATTGCACGTTATTAATAAGTAAATAAAAAAGAGCCGTTACAACAGGATCATCATTAGTGGAGAGGATTAATCACGAATGTGTGCAGTAATTTGGATGCCTATACAAGGACACAAGGTTAATGAGTGGTGTTGTCATCTACTCAATGTTCTAAATACAGAATAGACTTTGTAAATCTCCATAAAAAGTTCAACTATTCAAGTTATCATTCCTCCCACAGGGAGAATATGTTAGGGCAGGGCAGGATTACATCATTACATGTATATTTGGAAGGAGGGTTTTGAGTGAAAAGCTTTGGAGGGCTTCATCCATGTCTTGGTATATAGAATATTTTTAAAAATGAATAGAAGGTTTATCGAGTTATGAAATCGCTATCACATTTTCACCACTTCTTTAGCATTGTTACTTTGTTTGCACTTTAAAGTCATTAAATCTTAAATCCAATGCACTGGACTAATTCTCGTGTCACATATTAAACCTTCTTATTTGATCCGTGCAAAACCCTCCACTGTTCTATAAATAATGATTGACTGATTGATAACTGACAGAATATACACAATGCTGCTGCTTTGCTACATACATTATATAATACTTTACAAAACACATATAAAAAAGTCAAAAACTATTAACAAACGAGGGGGGGGGGACTTACTCTTTTCCTTAGAATAGGCTGACTGTGACGTAGGAATTTGTGGAACTTATGTCTTACAGCAACGCGAGCAAGCTTCTCTGTATCAACATTGGCAGCACGTAAAGGTGACAACAGCCCAGGCGGAAGGTCGGGGTACATTGAATACTGTTGTTTAGTGATCATTAAGTTCAGTACAGAATCACCCACATACTCAAGCCGTTCATATGATTCATATTTATGAGAATGATATGAAGAATGTATGAATGCTTGACATAACAAGCTCTGTTCTTTGAAAGTGTACCCTATAATCTTCTCTACTTCTTCAATGTTTGGTATTGGCTCATCAATCCTCTTTTCTTCTCCTTCCTCCTCAGTTGATTCTTCGAGTTCCCATTGGTTTCCTCTAGCACCCAGGAAACCATTGAAAATTGAACCTAGCCAAGAAAGAATCCCAGCCAAAAAAATCTTTAGATCAAATAAGATACATTCTTACTAACACAGATCGTTTTATTTTCCAATACAGCCAAGATGTAGACAATGCCTTCACTCTCATCCCCCTGAATCACTATAATTACTCTATGGTCTTATATATGGCTTGTCATTTATACATTGGCGAGTTGTGAGATGCATTAACATGTCCCCAGAACAGATCAATAATGAAATTACGGTATTAATTTTTTTGACTCTTACCGGAACTGGATTGCTAGATTGAGATTTGTAAATGCAATATGGCGGAATGAAATCAAACTACAGAAAGCAGAATACTGTATCTGCTTCCTTCTCATTCTCATAAATACTTATAATTGAGGATTGAAAACATGGGGGTCAAACGGTGATAAGTAAAATTGCATTTTACCCTAATTCAATCTGCCATAATCGCGGAGATAAGATTATTCGAACCTAACCATGAGAGGCGAGCCACTTCTTAGCTGGAGACCACCAAGACTGTAAGCTTCGTTTTGGAGAAGAAGACATCCTCAAATTTTTGGTCGCCGTGCTCGAAGGAATCCGACTGTTAGCCGAACCAAACTGTACGCACACATTCGGGTTTTCATTTTTATGGGCCAAGCCCATTATGTGGTACTGTTACTAATTGCCCATAATGTACGTGGACTCAAATCTAGTTGGAAACAAGAAGCAAAAAAGAATTAGGAATACAAACCATGAACCATAATAATGTCATAGTAAGAGATATTACCCGAAACTTACTAAAAAGGTTTGAAAATTCCCAAATAGGACTGTCATGTTTTTATTCCCAAAATAGGACTAATTACTGTCATGTTTTGACAGTACCAGACTTCAAACATGGCAGTATTTTTCACACATGATAGTAATTACTCCTATTTTGGGAATAAAAAACTTGGCAGTCCTATTTTGGAATTTTTAAATTGTTTTAGTCATATTTCGGGAACTTTCCCTAATGTCATATTGACTTAACGACATTGTTAGATGTTAGATTGTATTATCTCCTTATCTTGAGCACTATAAATGTGAATTTTAGAGAGAATTTGATTATGTATTTTTTTTTTGTAAAAATTGAAAATAATAATCCCAACTACTGCCGATCCGCTGATAATAATCTCAACTATTGATTATTTTTGTATAATCCCAACTATATGGATCGTCCGCCAATAATGGTCCATAACTAGATATTACCTCTTATAAAAAGTGAACTTTAAATAGAAATTAAGTGTAAAAATTAAAAGTTGAGATTGTTTATACGGATTACTTGTTATATCTCTCCTCGTCCACTTTAGAAACTACATGAATTTATTTATAGGAACCATTATTGGCGGAAGGTCCCTAAAGTTGGGATTATTCTGAAATAATCGATAGTTGGGATTATTATGAGCGGACTGCCAATAGTTGAGATTATTACTATCAATTTTTCCTTTTTTTTTTGAGTGAAATTGGATTATGCACACCAATTTCAAAAGAATTTGTGTATTGAAAACCGCTTTCGCGGCGTTGTAGTAAAACGGAGTCTAACCTTTCAGTTTTTCCCCGAGTATCGTGTCTCTTGAGGAATGGCGGAGGAGTTTCTTGATTTTAAGTCTAGTCACAGGTTATCGCAAATTATTGGAAGCTTTCCAAATTAAAACTTTTGATTGATTTTCTAAACTACTTTTTGGAAAAGTGATTAACTAAATTTATGCAATTATTGATGATTGCTCAAAAATAAACTAAATGAAAGACATATTAAATTCTAAATAGATTGATCAAAGAAGTGCAATGAATTGAGTAATTAGAAATGGATATATTCTTGGACCTAGTAATTAGGGAAATTAAAATTAAAATTGGACTAATAATTTCTTTCCTCATACACAAGGATAGAAACTATTTTCATTAATTTATCCTATTTCTAGGTATCATTAATCTGTTTAAAATGGTTGGCTTAAATTAAATTCTAACCTCATAGACAAGGTAGAAATAATTCTCCAATATTTAAATTAATAAAAATAGCCAAATTCATTAACTAGTTAAACTCATTATTTAAGAAATTGAATTTATTTCTCATAGACAAGATGTAAATCCCTTTCATTAAAATATCCTATTTCTAGGCGTTATTAATGTGCTATAATATGGTTGTCTTAAATTATTTTCTAATCTCATAGACAAGTTACAAATAATTTTCCAAGAATTTAATTAATGAAAATGGCTAACAATTATTAATTACTATTTCATCATTTTAAACAACTAGTCCAAATTATTAATTTTAACCCCTAATCTTCGGTCAACAAGTCAACCCATATTCCTTTAGTCAATTCATTCCCAAAACAAATTAACTACTAAACACAATTTTTGCATTTAACAATCTAATGAATAAATTAAACATTAACAAGGAATTAAACATGGATGATAGCAAAAAATTAAAAAATGCTAATATTCTGTCAAAATAAACTTGTAGAACTAAAATATCACCTTCTGGAATTTTTCCCGAATTTTATAACCTAAAATCCAATTTTAACAACTAATTGATAATTTTCCCAATATGAACTAGGAAATAAAAAAAGCAACTACAAATATTCTAAATTCTTTCTAAATTTTATATTGACTACTAGGAGTGATATTACTGTGAATTAAACTGGAATTAGGACAGAAACTATTTGTTTTCCTTTTTTGAGTATTTAATTTAATTTATGCAATAATAACCACTAAATGCCAGAGTTAATTAAAAATTACTTCTACTTCGTAAAAATTAACTTTGTATTGATAAATAACTACCTTGAGGCTAGTAAACAACTATATAATTAATTGGAATGGATTTAATGTCAACAACTATTTTATTCACATTTAAGAAGAAAATGCGAAATAGTGGAATAATTTTATGGAAATTTTCGAAGCACAGATAGAAAAACTAAGTACAGATTCAGATTCTACACATTGAAAGGATGAAAATACATATAAAGAACTCACAACTTGGAGCTAAAATGAGAAAGATATGAAAGATTGAAGTTGAAGGTGCAACAATGGTGGAAATCCGAGCTTTGAGGAGGAAGAAGACGCTCTCTCTTTTTGATCTTATTTGGGCTTGAAATTGGTGTATCTGAGTTTAGCAAAAGCCTGCTATTTATAGCAAAAAATTTCCCGTAGGCGGCCGGAAGGGCGGCCGCCCTTCGTACCATTCTGGCAGCCTTCCGTCGCATCGCCGACAGCCCGTCAAATCTCCGCCGCAGGCTGTCACAAGGGCGGCCGCCTGCCGTTTCTGTCTAGCCGCCCTCCGTCAAATCTTACCGGCCGGTCGTTGACTCCGTCGCATTGTGCCGCAAGCGGTCACCGAGGGTGGCCGCCCTCCGTCATGTGTCGGCAGCCTTCGGTCTTTCCCGGTCCCGGTCAAAGCCAAACTTTGAGTTTTCATATTAGCTATAGGCGGCCAAATAGGCAGCCAAATAGGCGGCCAATATGGCAGCCTCCCAGACAGCCTTTGAGTAAATTCATCTGACTTGTGCTCTATTATCTGCTCTTCAAGATTGTCTTCTGGACCACTTTGATATTATGCTTGCTTCTTCCTGTATGAATTTATTTGTCACTCAAATTGACTCATTTTGTGCTCAATTGACCCGAAATTCCGGCAAACATGTTATGAATGTGATTTTCACCTGATTTCATGAAACTTGAACCAAAATATCTAAAACATGCCTTTTCTTTCTATTTTCAATCAAAAATCGCTTAAATTTGATAAGAAAAATAAGTACCAAAATGGACTTATCATGTATGCACCCTATAGTTCATATATTTGTTAATAATGAGGTGTAAACATTACTTTCTTTTTACCAAATTGCATGGACACGTATGCATTTTTTAAAATGTGATGCAGTTAGATTTCATTTTCTAAAAAGTGATGTTCCGTCCAAGAAGTTTTGCTGAATTTGATAGGATCTTCTTCTTTGTAAATGGCTCTTTATTAAAACTTGTTTGATAACACAAAAATTGATTGAATCTACTGAAATTTATGCACTTCTTGATGAAGCAGTCGAATTGGCTAAGTCTGCAAAATTATTGAAATTATACGGAGTATGAAAGATAATTAAAATAGCCTTTTAAGCAATTTTAGCTTGAAAATAACTCAAATATAAATGTTATTATCGACTAATATATAATTAGCGATTAAAATAAAAAGTTACATATTTGATATTAAAAGTTAGCTTATAAACAAAATATAGCGTCTATCGTATGGGGTCTTAATGAGAGAGTGGCCTTGTTTAGCGATCAACTGTTAGCTGTGAGATGGTTATGACAGTTGATTGCTGATAGCTGGTTGTGTTAGCTATTTTAGTTGGCAATCTGTCTTTCTGCTAGTTTCCTGTCCCGTCACCGTCATCGTTGGAGTTCACCGCCGCCGCCATACAGACTAATCATGTCACTAACAGACTGATTTGATTATGCAAAGGAACTAAGGACAATTAATTAGGAGTAAATATGGAATGAACAGTCAAAGTTTAATAGTACATAAGATTTTATTTTTCGAAGAAGCATATGTTTTAATAGTACTAAGAGCATCTCCAACTGTTGGCTAATTGCCCTCATAGTTTGACTAGTCAGGTAAGCTTTTGTAGCAAAATTGAAATATACTCCAATGGTTAGTTACAACCTTTTTCTCTTCATTTATTATTTGAAATGTTATATTTAATATTCCACTTGCTCAAACTAGTAGTTCATTTAGGCTAATTAGCTTTCTCAAGCAAAAGCAAGAGCAATGCTCCAATGGTAAGCTAGTAACTTCAAAATTGCAAGCAAGTCCCTAGAAGTAACCATGAGAGATGCTCTCATGATGTTAGCGTTCTTGATTAGGGTGTGAGGTTACAATTCCAGTCTGGTTTAGAATCAAAGGTTCTGATTGTTTCTTGGAAGACTGGAACTGTATTCGCCCCTCGTATACTAACCATTCTTTCACATACTGAATGGAGCATTATATAACTGCATAAGGATTGGGGAATTTAATTTAACGTTATAAATTGTTCCACCTCGTTCTATATATAGAAACAGTTGTGTTTGTACACTGTCTATGGAATTTTCTATTTTAAGTATTTAAGTATAGGCAAATCTAGCCACAAAAAGGAATATTAGAAGAAACAAAACTAATCATAATAAGTTTTCACTCATTCCCAACTCATGCTATCTTAAAAACCTATTCATGTAATAATACTCAAATTGACTGAATTGGCTAGACTGTTTTCTTTTAGATTGTGTTAGAGTCTCACATCGGAAAAGTTTGAATGAACAATGTGCTATATTAAAATCTGGGCTACTCTTCCTATCAGAGTGACCTTTTAAGATGAAACCCCGGGTCTTAACAGATTAAAATTTGTTGGTGTAGTCTGACCTGATCTGATCTGGTATGGTAAACTTCTGGTTTCTGTGTATTTTACAATTATAGAAGTCTGATCTGGTCTGCGACCGAAAACAGTCTAAAAGAAAACATCTTAAATCTGCTAATACATACTTTGTAGTATTGTAATATTGAAATTCCGGCCAGAGTGACTGAATTGGCTGAATATTTCCAAATAGAGAAACATTATGTGAAAAGTTCATATATGAACTAACAT